AAGAAACCAGTTGAATGCAGATGGGTATTTACTGTGAAGCACAATGCGGATGGTTCCATTGAGAGGTACAAAGCTCAGCTAGTTGCAAAAGGATTCACTCAGACTTATGGTATAGATTACTTGGAGACATTTGCCCCGGTAGCCAAGATGACCACCATTCGGGTTCTATTATCTCTTGCAGCAAACTACACTTGGCCTTTGTAGCAAATGGATGTTAAAAATGCCTTCCTGAATGGAGACTTGCAGGAAGAGGTTTACATGCAGTTGCCTCCTGRATTCTATGATACAGAGGCAGGTAAGAAGGTCTGTCGGCTCAATAAGGCATTGTATGGTTTGAAGCAGTCACCTAGAACTTGGTTTGACAGATTCAGACTAGCCCTTGGGAAGTTCGGTTATGTACAGGCCCAGTCAGATCATACACTGTTCATCAAGAGGGTGAAGTCCTCACTGACACTACTTGCAGTATATGTTGATGATATTGTGGTGACAGGAAATGACAGCCATGAGATTGAGTCCCTCAAACAGCTCCTTCATCAAGAGTTTGAGGTGAAAGATCTGGTTACACTACGATATTTTTTGGGTATTGAGGTTGCTAGATCTAAACAGGGGATCTCTGTCTCTCAGAGGAAATATGTTCTACATCTATTGGCTGAAACTGGAAAGCTGGGTGTCAAACCTGCARATACACCCATTRAACARAACCACAGGATTAGTGCAGAGAGTGGGGAGCTGCTTGAAGACAAAGTTATGTTCCAGCGGTTAGTGGGAAAGCTCCTATATCTATGCCTCACTCAGCCAGATATCAGTTATGCAGTTAGTCTTTACATAACAAATAGAGCAAAAATAAGACTGAAATAAATAACAACTGAAACAACTAAATGACCAATAGCTAACCCTAGGCAGACTAGAACACCTTCTGCCCTACAAACACAGTGGGACCGTAGCTGTGGGGCCCACATCAGTGTTCTCTACAATTGTCATGTGCAAAAAAGGGCTCAAAACCTACAACCTTAAACAACCTATGACCAGCCAACCATGAGAACATCTTTCCCAAAATTTTCTGATAAATAGCATCAGCAGAACTAGACTTTTTTTTTAAGACCTTGAATTCCTCTCTTG